CACGGGCGTCCGTGGGACCATGGAGCCATGGAGCGCCATGGAGCGGGAAGGGTGGAGGGGGCGGAAAGGGCGGAGAGGGCGGAAAGGCGGAGAGGGCGCGTCCAAAGCCGTGAAGCCATGAGAGCCATGGACCGGGATGGGACCATGGGCCACAGAACCATGGAGCCATGGAGCGCCATGTAGCGGGAAGGGCGGGGGCGGAAAGGGCGGAATGGGCGGAGGGGGCGGGGAGGGCGGAGAGGGCGGGCATGCACTGGGACCCTGTGAAGTCAGCAGCCGTGAAGCCATGGGAGCCATTGGGCGGGATGGGACCATGGAGCCATGGCGCCATGAGCCATTGAGGGTGAGAGGCATGGGGCCATGAGGCCATGGGGGGTAAAGGAGCAGAGGCGGCGGAGAAGGAGCGCCATGGGGCGGGAAGGGCGGAGGGGGCGGGAACCATAGCCATGGAGCGGGAAGGAAGGGCGGAGGGGGCGGAAAGGGCGGAAAGGCGGGCATGCACTGGGACCCAAAGCCGTGAAGCCATGGGAGCCATGGGGCGGGATGGGACCATGGAGCCATGGGGCCATGAGCCATTGAGGGTGAGAGGCATGGGGCCATGAGGGGGCAAGGAAGGGCAGAGGTGGCGGAGAAGGCGGATGATAAGGTCTGAAGCCACGGGATGGGACCATGGGGCCATGGGACCATGGAGCCATGGAGCGCCATGGAGCGGGAAGGGCGGAGGGGGCGGAAAGGGCGGAGGGGGCGGGGAGGGCGGAGAGGGCGGGCATGCACTGGAACCCTTCAAAGTCAGCGGATAGGGTCCAAAGCCGTGAAGCCATGGGAGCCACGGGGCGGGATGGGACCAGGGGTAAAGGAAGGGCAGAGGCGGAGAAGGCGGAGGAAAAGGTCCAGGAACATGAGGCCGTGGGCGCCATGGGGCGGGAAGGGCGGAGGGGGCGGGAACCATATGGAGCGCCATGGAGCGGGAAGGGCGGAGGGGGCGGAGCGGGAAGGGCGGAGGGGGCGGAAAGGGCGGAAAGGGCGGAGGGGCGTGGGGCGGGATGGGACCATGGAGCCATGGGGCCATGAGCCATTGAGGGTGATGGGGCCATGAGGCCATGGGGGGGCAAAGGAAGGGCAGAGGCGGAGAAGGCGGATAAGGTCTGAAGCCGGGCGGGCCATGGGACCATGGAGCCATGGAGCGCCCGGGGGCGGAAAGGGCGGAAAGGGCGGCGGGAAGAGCGGGCAAGCGGAGCAAGCGGAGGGGGCGGCAGCCCATGGGGCCATAGGAAGGGACCCATAGGCAGGGTGTATGTGGGGGGGTGGGGGTGAGGAGGGTACGCCCTTGGGGACCACGCGGCCATGAGAAGGGCAGTGCGGGCGGGAAGAGCGGAGCAAGCGGAGGAGCCATGAGCGGGGTGGGCGGGCAGCAAGGGCAGTGCGGGCCATAGGCGAGGGGGGGAAGGGAAGGGGCCATGCACTAAAGCCCCTAAACCGGACAAAAATGGGTCTTCACTGACGCCGCCCCGCTGCTGCTGGGGTCGGCGGATATATTTGCCGATATTCCATTTTTGCACTTGTGCCTGGCCATTGAGCCTCCTGTTCTGGGGCAAGGAGCCCAATCGGACGTCGTCGCCCTCAAGTTGCAGGAAGATCAAGCCTGCGATACAGAGATGAAGCACACAAAGGAGGATGTTGCCGTCGCTGTATTCTCCGCGGCGTGCACGGTGTAGAATCCTGGGCACCTGAGCTCAAGGCACCTCAGAGCCTGGTACCCGGTCACGCAGCTAAATTCCCAGACTGGTACAAAAGCAACAACATCGCACCCGCATTGGTGCTGCCCTTGTCATACGCCAGCAGGCCTAAGAAGGTTCAGTGAGAACAGAGGTCGTGACCGGCGTGACCTGTTTTGTGACTTCAACGTGACCAGTTTGAACTAAGGGGCGCAGCATGTGGACCTGCTGAAAGCAGGTCTGCATTGCACTGCATAGATCTGCCAAGCTGTGCGCCATTAAGCCGTTCAATTCTGAATAGCCAGTTCAGTTCTCTCCTGCGTGTCGCCGGTTTTCTTCTGGCCTCGAGCTGCTTGTGCCAGCCTATACCCAGAAGCCCCCAGCCCATGTGAAGATCAAAGCTTCCCAACGCAATTGATTGATGTCTTATGATTCAACAAAAGCAGAAACATAGTTTACAGAAGCTACTTTGTTCGCTCTCATTTGTCTTGCTGCGTACTTTTTGTGCCTTCCTAGACCACCATGCCTAGAATAGTTCTAGTCACCGCCAGTACCACAATAAGAGCTCCAGCCATAGGGGAAAGTAGTCATCATCACCTCCGCAACCATCAAAGCATGATCATCTCATCCTTCTTATCTGATGTTTCTTATGTTTTCATCTTGCAGCTGATCCGATGGAATAGAGGGAACGCTCTGAGGAGCTCAAAACCTGGGATTTCGACACGGAAACCGGCTGGTCCGCAGGGACCGCAGGGAAGCGCCAGGCTACAACCAGCTGGCTACAACTAGCTGGCAACAACTAGCTGGCTACAACTGGCTCGCTGGCTCTGCTTTGCATGGAGAGGGTTAAGACAACAGCCTCCTCCGAGGAATTGCATTTTAAGTTAGTGTTTATAGTTCAGCCCATGGGCGGGATGTGTAAGGTTATCTTTCTTATTATGGTGCTAAAGGGGTAAGGAAGAGAAGTTTCCAGCTTCACTGAAGTTTGTTCTGCGGCTTCAGGAGCATCAGGGGGTTTGGGCGCAGCGCTGAAAAGCCAACTGGGCTTAGGGCTAGCTGGGCCGAGGGCTTCGGGTTTAGGGCTTAGGGCAGAGGAGTCACCTGAACGCAAAAGTGTGCAGACGTGCCCACCTCAAGACCGCCCAAACACTACTCAAAACGAGCCAACCCAGATCCAGCCGAACCAAAGCCAGCCCACATTCAAACATTTCTGCACTCGATGCTGTGCTTCGGGCTTGTATCTAGTTAGTATGCTTCCTATATCACAGAGCTTGCCTACGCAGATGACTTGCTGCATGGTAAACTGGTAGACATCTAAGAAAAAGCATGTGAGAAAGACACTAGAATTAGAATTAGAAGCTTCCGAGGGGAAATTTTGGTTTTGCGGTGGGGACATCTTCGGGGATTGTCGAGGCTGCATGACGACAGACCTGTTGCTATGCATATAAATTGTGAAGTAAATGTACAGAGGCTTCCGAGAGAAAAATTACGCTTTGCGTGGGGGAAGTCTTCGGCCGCAGGGCCTATCTCTTCGTTTTTCTTCTCTACGCCGGAGTGTCAAGGCTGAATGACGAAAGACTTGCTGCTATACAAATACTTGTGAGGGACATGTATAGAAGCTTCCGAGAGATAAATTACGCTTTGCGGGGGACGTCTTCGGCCGGAGGGCCTATGCATGGCTTTTCTTCTTTATGCCGGAGTGTCAGGTCAGAAATTGAATCTTTCGAGAGAAAGAGAGAGAGGAAGACAAATTCGCTTGTGCGTTGGGAGACGTCTTCGGCCAGAGGGCCTTCTCACTTCTTTTCTTCTTTGCGCCGGAGTGTCAAGGCTGAATGACGACAGACTTGCGGCTATGAAGATACCTTGCGTAAAAGAGGTGTTTTGCGTTGGGGGGCTCTTCTGATCTTTGCCCAACATAGCACATTGGAAGCTTTCGGAGAGGGTGCCAAGACTGTGTTTGTTCCCAAATTGTTTCCAAGGCTTGCAAAGACAGAGTTTTCTGGAGCTTTCCCGTTCAGGGCGCTCCCGGCGCAGGGCTGTTACGGGCCCTTGTCAGAGTCCTTCAAGGGGCTTCCCAAACTCCCGGAAGGAAGCCTTGCAAGGCCTTTCCACAAAACCAGGAACTCCTGGCCTCTCAAAGGCCTCCGGGTATGGCTCACGAGAGGCGCCCTTGGGCCTGCTAGAACCGCCCAGGGACCTCCCAGCCCAAACAAAACCGACTTGCCTTCGTGTGACATGCCGCCCCCTTGGGTGTGTTGGGGCGCCATTTCCATGGTATCTACTGCCTCTGTGCAGCGAGACGCCATAAGCTGGCAGCATTTGCTAGTGACTTGTGAATCACGCGGCTGGTGGTCCTATACTTTGAAAAGTAAGATGGAGCTTTGCGCATTACTCTCTTGATCTTCTGAGCTGCAAAAGGGATTGTAGCCGGAGGGCATCTCTCACTGCGGAGCTGCAAGATTTCTGTACGGATCGTTCTTTTGTGGGTGAGGAAGATAGTAATGAATGCTGTCTGAAGAGCACAGCATAGTGCAGAGACCTTCCCGTATTCTGAGCCCCGAAAAGAGTTAGCAGCATAGCATGGGGAGGAACATGTGCGGCTGTGCCAGTGAGCCAGAAGGGACCACAAGTGTCCGGGCAACTCCCAAATTTTGGAACGATGGCTGCAAAAGGGAAGCAATACGTGCAAGGTCCCGATAAACCCGTGTGCCTCTTTGATTTTCACTGTAGCGGAAGTCCTCTGAAGTATGTTCTATATGTTTATATGTTCTACTTCATGAAAGCCGAGGCAATGTGGAGACACATGTTCGTGTTATATAGTTGTAAGGGAGGTAAAATCATGACATGGGGGTGAGTACTAACTTACTAGCTCACGAGCTGGGCCTTGACTCTTTCTCACCCAGGGATTTACGGCCTTTGGGTAAGAAAATGCGGCTCCCAGCCTTGACGGGTTTGGTCGAGGGTTTAGGGATTGATTTCGGTGGAGAGCTTCGTGATGCATGGCTCGATTTCCCAGGCCGGGTCGCCAGCAGGTTCGCTGGTGAAGGCTTGCACAGTGGGCCATCAGCTTCATTGGGCAAAGGGATCGCAGCTGCGTCTCGATCCGAACTTGATGAAGCTGCCAGACCATCGCGCAACACCCCGAGCAAGCATTCTGGGCGCCTGATAACCCAGAAGTGCTCGTGAACCCCAAAGCCTGAGATCCTAACAATCTGCACCCGCCCCATGTCGATTAGACTTTTTGTCGGAAACCCCCCCTAAAAATCCTTGCGTCGGGATGGGCTGATGCGGCCGAGCCTCCGCCGCAGCTTCCGTGTCCGGCGCCCGCAGGCTGGGCAAGTGCTTTACGAAGGGCCCCTGCGCGGGGTGAGGTCAGGTCCTTCCCCCCCCCCCCCAATATCCCGCCTGCGCCCCTCCCCATTCCCCCCCTCCCCATACTCAATTATAGCGATTTTACGGCGTCTGTTGACCCCAAACCCTAAAACCCATAACCAGCCCTTAAACGCCCCCCACAGGTTGTAAACCTTATCAAGAAGCCCCTAAGCAAACAAACCAATCTTAAACCTTAAAAGCCGAAAAGCCATACACAAAGACAAAAAACCACCTCCCTTAAACGCTGTCGGTGGAGGCTGCTGGGCAGAGCCGGAGGTTCACTAGCCGAGCCATTCTGCAACTTGCCCCGAGCATTCCGTGGGTTCAGGAGGGTAAAGGGCGCTTTGAAGTCCGAACGGCGACCCGAGACGCTCTCAGGCGCCGTGCGCTCCCTTGAGCCACCTTGCCGCAACCGTCGGCATCCAAAGCCATGACAAACAGCAAGAGTTCCGCCCCTCGCGGCAGCTGCTGAATCGCGCCGTTTCGCGCGCCTTCCATGCGCCTACGTCCTGCGCCCTTTCCGAGACTGGGGCATGTCGCGACGGCCCGAGGAAAAGTGGCGAAAGCACACGTTCCTGCATTTTGGGCTCGCTTCCTGTGCGCCCTTTGGTAGGGAATTTGGATTTTCGGTTCCGCGTGACGCTCTCTCGATCCGACACCTGAATCGGCCCTCGTAGGGTTGTCGTTCCTGTGAGGTTTTGGCTTTGGGAGGGCGGCCTGCTTCGCTTTTTGTAGTTTAGTGTGGATTTCAGGTATATTTGGAGGTGTTCATGGCTTCGCAGGGACGTGTTGGGTGGCGCGGGCTAACCCTTTAATCCTAAACGTTTCGGGTTTTGGGACCCGAGACCCTTGGGACTCAGGCTCAGTTGCAAGGGAGGCCACGGCTTCTTGTTACTTCCCGCTATCGGCCAAGGCTGGCGGATGTGCGGGACAGGCGCCAGGGAGTGTAGAGCCAGGGAGGTGCCTAGCACCCCACCGGATATGTGGGGCTTCCGAAAGAAAAGCAGTGTACCTAACCTCCAAAAGAGGGCTCATTTTCAGTGCCTGCTTCTCCTTTTCGAGTACGGATGTGGCATTCGGAATGGCAAGCACATAAACTAGGTAGCCGGAGCATCTAGGCTTTGAGGAGCAACAGCGGCAAGCGGCAGGGCTTCTTTAAAAACCCAATCACAGATGGTCAGCTCTCTAAACTATGGTCCCCTTTTGGATACCCTAAATCATAGGGGCCGCCTGATTATAACAAGGACCCCAAAAGAAAACCTTATTTCAGAGAAGTGATCTGTGCGTCACAAGCACCACTGTTCTTGTTGTTTAGGCGCATTACCTTAAGCGCCAGCTGATCTGCGCATCCTAGCCTAGCCCTACATAAAAAATGTATACATGTATGCATGCATGCATATATATATATATATATACCCATGTATCCATATATTTTGTTTGTTTCTGCATGTTCTTTGTTTTAAAACTACAGATAGTTGGATATGTCATCTCTCTCCTTGCAAGGTTGTCGTCAACGCTTAAAGGGTTGCATTTCGCGAAGGATTGTGTTGACTAGTGTTGACATGTACTTGTAACGTTCATGGTGTCGCTGCGTTCGTAAACGAACTTCGTACAAAGGTTGAACTCAATGAAAGTTTCAATAGTAAACCGTCAACCAGATGTTGGTTGATAGTGATGGTACTGTATTCATTTCCCAGTTCATGTACATGTGTACATTGTTGGGACACACTCAACCTTAAACTAAACCCTACACCCTCAAACCCTAAACTGGCCAGATCCAAGCGCCGTCCAGCTGTCGTGGATGCAGTCAGGCCCTCACTCGCCACAGTTGAGAGACTTCAAGCTGCGGGCTACCACTACAACTACAAAAAACACCGGGGCGGAGATGCGTTTTCTCCATCTTTAGCAGTATAGTGATCCCAAGATGTTTGGTTCCGGCTCTGTGCTTGAGCCAGCTGCGGTCACTGCAATGGCCACCCTCCTGGCTACTGGTACCCAACCACTTGCAAGAGACTTTTATGAAAGAGCTTAGAATCTCCACCCTGAAACTCCTGAAACTGCGACTGCCTACGCCACGCGACCGAAGAATCAAGGGGCCTCCAAACCTCAACGGCCCAACCAACCCTACGGCAAATCTCCACAGCCCCCCGGTACCCGGGACTCGGAGAAGTTGAGGTGGAGAATCTGCTCCGACAAAGCCCGCTGAGGGATGCCGAGGACACCCGCAGTCCACTTTTCTTTCGGTACCCGAAAATTGCCCGCCAAGCCGGTGTGCCCATAGCACTTCGCCCTCAAAGCTCCAGGGACTCTGGGGATGCCAGAGGCTCTCCAAAGGAGTTGAGGCCTCTGGCCGCTTCAAAGTCGAGTCCGGTTTAGGGTTTAGGGTCTAGGGCTTAGGGCTTAGGGCTTAGGGCTTAGGGCTTAGGGCCTTTGTGGAACTTGGAGGGGCAGTGGATATTCATGATATTTGGGACTTGGCATTGCACCAAGGTTAACAGGGCCTGGGGCCTGAAATCTAGGAACAAAGCATGAACAGCCTGCAGGAAGCTGCCATCTGTGCTGCAGCGCTCTCCAGGCTACGCACAAAAATGAGTAGCACATCCTGTTCTGTTCTGTTCTGAATGTGGAGAAAGATTTGCGTTGAAAGTGCCAAACTGCACTCAACTGTTCGCAGCGCACCCATTTGTCAATCCGGTCGTTGGACGGTTTCCTGCTTTCAGGCGCAAGCTGTGGGTCGCGAGCTTAGTTGCTGGTTGGGATGAAGCCTCACAGTCTTCGCACACCGAACTGCAGAATTACGGACCTTGCCAAGGAGCGTGGCTTGTCCATGCTCTCGGAAGGCCACTTCCTGACAGGGACGAAAGGCCCCTCTGCTGAGCGTGCTCGGGAGTCAAACGCTCCAACTGCGCTCCGCGCGTGTACTAGAAGCAAGCGCTGTATCTTCACTGAAGCCCACAACGAAGCTTGCAGGACTCAACGCAGCCGTGAAAACCTGCCGCAGCGCATCGCAGTGGGAGCGCCGCTCTCAGAATGGCTGCATGTGACTGCCATGCTTCTCGGAACCACTGACCTGTCGAGCTTGTGTGTGTCGGGTTAGTTCGTATCACGTCACGGCATGCTGCTGTCCTGCATGAGGTTGGCTCTGTGGCTGGCTTTATCTGCGCACAAGCAGACGGAGCGAGACGCCGCTTCCCAGCACGGAGTTGAAATCAACAAGTTCACTGACGAAGTCCAAGTCACCATGTTCAAAGCGTGACATGGGGTTGCATTCTGAGGGCCTGACCTATTCCATGGTCCTGTCCGCTTGCAGCGAAGGCGCGTTCCAGAAGGGCATCGGCTGGGAGCATGTCTGAGAAACCCTAACCAGAAACGGGAACGGCCCCAGATCGCGAAGAGGCGCTTGAAGCCTCGACAGCCACAACAACGCGTGAAGTCCTCCAAGAGGCCCTGCAACAGAAAGAATCGTATGCATGCACAGTCAAAACTCCACTCCCGAGGCAGCGTGTGGGAGCTGGCGATTAGGCTCTGGCTGGAGGCCAGGCAGGAGGGGTCGGTGGGCCCAGCTTCCTGCCCCACTCAGGGACAACCACGACATGGAGGTGCTGAAAGTGCTAACCTCGTCTCCCCGAACTGTCAGCCCGAAACCCACATTCGTTGGCGAATACCGAAGGCCAAACTGCTACACTGCCACACCCTGTGGAAAAAAAGGCGCTCGGAAACATGCAAACCTCAAGAAAAAGCCCTGAGGCTGGGGAGCTATGGCCACGTGGCCAGCGCGGCCATCGCGGCCTGCGGCAAGGGAAAGCAGTGGCAGCAGGCAAAGGGCAGGGGAGAGCGGTGTTGGCATTGTTTTTGACTGTTTTTGGCTTCGGGTTCCTTGAAGGCTTGTGACATTCTCACGTACACAGTGGAGGCCATTGCCCTCCTCTGCAGCATCGAGCAGCCAGACGCCCACCTGGCAGAGGTTTGCAAGGCTTAGCGACGCGCCGTCGAGAGTGCACCACCTAGGGGAAGGCCCGTCTGAGGCTTTGAGGCTTGAAGCTCGGAACCCAAAACCTTCGTTGTCTGGTTTCCGAAAGTGCGCTTTTTGGGGTCCTGGAATCAGGTATTACTAAGGTATATTAGGGGGCCCCTCATTTATGGGAGATGCTTATAAGTGCCGCGTGGACATCTGCGGTCTTTTCCTGGCGCTTGCCAGGCTGCGGTATTTGCCGCGGCAATCGATGCTTGCCGGAGAGCTGGGCGGTGGCAGGCGCGGAGGGAGCCCTGCTCTGCTCTGGCCCTCTTAATCTTAGACTGTCTTATCAAGCGCTGATAAGCTTCGTTTAAAGAGCCTTTGGCCTCTTGCTGTTTCGGGTTCAAGTTGAAGAGCACGGTTCAAGAACTGGGCCTCTTTGCAATTCGCAGTGCTCGCAGTGCTCTCTTAAGGCTTTCCGTGGCTCTTCCCAGTTAGTTCTTAAGCGCTCAGAAAGGAGGCCCTGGCGGTGCTTGAGAGCTTTCGGCCATTGGGCGCCCCGCCTCCCGAAGGCATCGGGGCTGTCAGAAGCCCGGCATTTGTCCGCTGAGAAGTTGGGAGTATTCAATAGTATTCAACTGATTTCGACTCTCGAGGCCGTATCCGCGCTGGCCTACAACACCCGGTGGATGCAGGCCACGGCCACCAGCCCCGATTGATGCGCTCAGCTTCGATTCTCCTTGGTGCAGAATCGCCGGGCTTTGTGATCTTTGCTTGGGTTCCGGCAAATCAAAAACCTCCGAAAAAAACCCCACATTTCCTCACAAAAGCTGCCTGCCGCAGGCGCTGCTCCTGTTTCATGAGGAGTTCCTTCAGGGCCCGTGCCTCGAGGTGCGGCGCTCCTGGATGCGTCGGAGTGTTTGGAGCCTTCCTTGAATGAGCCTTGGAGCCCGTTTCGAAACAGACCCTGCAGCTCCACACCCCCGGACGCGGACTTCAACTCTCGAAGATACACGATCCCGTTTTGCCCTCCTCCACAAACCAGCTCCGACCACAACCCTTGAAAATCATAACCTTGCCCCTGTCCTAACGCAAGGAAGGTTCCTTCCATTGACGCTCGCTTCCATTCCCGGGGGGTGTTTAAAAGTTCTGGGTTTCGGGTTGCAACGATCTGCGCCCCCAGGGCACCGGCCCCGGCATGCGGGGCTTCACCGGGGCGCTGCAGGCCTGCGCCGAAGGCCCCACCGAGAGTTTAGGGTTGAGGGTTTAGGGTTTAGGGGGAGGGGTTTAGGGGTGTTGAACTTTGCATGCCACCAGGGCCATTTTTGCATTCAAGTCTTGGCACCTCTCTTGGAGGCAGCAACTGGCAAGTCGCCCCTGCCTCAGTTGGGGCCCGATCGTGTAGTCAAATCCTCACTCCTTCCTTCCATGACACTTTAAGGCTTCTACGTCTATGTTGGCTGATAGAGAATGCGACTTCTGATGGCAGCGAGACAACAAGTTCGGCTTTAAACCCTCAACCCTCAACCCTAAGCCCTATGATTGGTTTGGGAGCAAAGAAGTGCCGTTTGAGGCTTTGAGCCTGCTGGAGCAGATGGCAGCAAGGCTGCGGTTGTCTTGGACTTGCAAAGCGCATGCACCAACGTTTGCTTTGGTCTTGTGTAGATTGTAGTACTACTGGTGTAAGATCTCATAGAATATTAGACAAAACATCGTAATTTCCAGAATCATAAGCTTCCCCTTGGCTTAGAGGAAGCTGGCGCCTGACAAGCGGTGCTTCGACATCGCCCTGCGTGCGCACAAGCAAGCGCGGCATGGTGGCCAGCCCCAAGCCGCGCCGCGAAGGAGATGACAGCCGGATGACAGCCGGCGCCGGCTGAAAAAGCGCCTCCGGGGGGGTTGCCTGGTTGTTGCAGGAGGAGTTTCAAGAGCTTCTTTCTGACCCGTCCATTCTTGATTCTTGGAACGCACAGCCGTAAGTGAGGCATCGACACGTGACTTGCGCCATGAAGCCACAGAGACAGAGAGAGAGAGAGAGAGAGAGAAAAACAAAAAAGAACGAGAGAGAGAGAGAGAGAGAGCGAGAGCCGGAGGGGGCCGTAAAGTGCGCAGAAGAAGACAAAGAAGAAGAAGAAGAAGAAGAAGAAGAAGAAGCAGCGGTGTTTTCGAGGGGCAGGTTTCACATGGCATCTTCCAGTGTCAAGCGACTGGTGCACAGAGAGCAAAGCAAGAATAGGACCATTCGTAGGGACCATAGGGGAGAAATATTATTAATTATTCCGATATTAGGCAGTGTTATTTCAAGGGGCTGCTCTTCAAACTGCTGTCTCCAGCGAGCAATGCACTTCGAAAAAGTTAGACAACTCAGAATATCCATAACTTCCAAAACCCCATCATAGTCGTTGCTTACGTTATATAACGGTTCCTAGAGGATGCTCAAAATTAAGAGCACCACAGCCAATGCCCGTCGACTCTTCTCTTCAGTGCTACGAATCTCTCAAATCACAACACACCGCATTATCCTGCATTGTACTGGTGGGGGCAATGAGGTCTGAGGTTCAGCCGTGGTCTATGCCCGACTAGAGGCATGTCCCGGACACTTTCCGCAACAGAGCTGCGTCGTTAACGGTGTCTGCATGCATCTGCAAATGCTGAATCCACATTCTCGTTCAAGAACGATGGTAGCCCCGGCGGCCGTGCCGCCCCTGCCTTGTGATGGGCCATGGGTGCGTCGAGTTCAGTGCCGTGTGATTGTTCCCGGGGTGTGTCGCGGATCTTTGGGGGCGGATCCTCTCAAGGGGCGTGCACACTCCGGATCATCCAAATCACCGATGTCTACGTCCTAGACTACTTCCCGAGCCTGCGCACCTTGATCAAGGAGAAATCTCTGGAGTTGCAGCGAAAATGCGGCGGGCAAACAGTTAGTATGTTGACTGGGGATTTCCTGGCACCGTATCTGCTGTCGTCCATTGACATGGGCGTGGGCATGATGAAGATGATCAATGGCACACCCATCGATTATTTGACGTGGGGCAACCACGAGGATGACATTCCTCACAAGGAGAGGCGAAACATGATCTAAGCGAGACCTTCCCCTACACACTTGATGCGATTTTCAGTAGATTCTACTATTATGTCGGGGTCCACTTTCGCTAACTCCACAGTCAGTTCCGATCTTTTCTTGTCCCCCCAGCCTAGATCAGCAGAATCTTTCGCAGCTCAGCTTTGAGGGTTAAGGGCATCTTGGGTTTCGGGAGAGGGCTCGAGGGACTTTCGGGTTTCAACGCAAAAGGCTCCAAAAAATCTCGGAGCGTCTGCCCTCTGCAGGAAGTGCTGAAACGAGAGCGAGAGTACACGGGGACCTGGATCAACACGAACATGCAGACGCATGAGTCCTTCGCGAAATCCACCTGTCAAGTGGATGAAGAAATTCTCCAAGTCATATCTCTTGATGGAAGCAACTGGGTTGCTTGTTAGGATTGAACTAAGTTACCATAATGTGGAAAACCTGTTGGTTATTGAGCGACTCAAGTTTTCAGAGTTTCTTCGATCGGCGAAATCCAGGTAACAAGCGGCGGATAGGTATGATCGGCGTGCTTAGCAACTCACCCAGCCTCTACCGCCCGGGTGCATTTGGTGGAGCCAAGATCGAAGACCCCTGGGAAACTATGGCCACGTATAAGAGGAAGCTCCAGGAAGACGAGGGCTGCGACATCGTGGTTCCCCTCTGTCACCTGTACGAGCCCCAGGATGAGCGAACCTGCCGGGAGTTCGACTTCCCCGTGATCCTGAGTGGCCACGACCACCATGTGGTGGATCGGCTGATAGACGGCACTCGGCTGCTGAAGCCGGGGCAAGATGGTATCAAGGTGGCTCGGTGGCGGCTGGGGATGTGATTTTCGAGCTTCAAGAAACACAATAAGCAAACAGCCTCTTCACACATGTCAAACGGAGTCTTCCTAAGTATGGCTCTCTTTCCAGTCACTGTTGCCACGTCAGCATGTGCACTCATATTGCTAGCACGTTCATGTGCACGACTCGCAGCTTCTCCTAGCGAAATGTCCAAAAGCCTCCCACACAAGTTCCCGCCAACCGCTACAGCAACAGGGTGGTTTGGGGTTGAGGGTTTAGGGTTTAGGTTGGGTTTAGGGTTTAGAGTTTAGGGTTCAGGGTTTAGGGTTTAGGGTTTAGGGTTTAGGCAGTGATCCTGGACCTCTCCTGGCCGACTGCCTCAAGCACAACGCCGGTCATCGACTACGAGATCGTTAATGTGGCCGACTGGCCGCCGGACGAGGCCCTGCAGCTCGGACATGCGAAAGGAACAGAGTTTAAAGCTCGATAGGGTTTTGGGACGCTTTATCTTTTCCCTTCTATTGGATTTTGATGATGATATTCGGGACATCTGTGCTACGTCCAATGAGTCATACGTTGCCACCTACACCAGAAGTCCGGTGTCGAACCCAGGGTTTCAAGAAAGATCGAACCCTAAAACCCTAAACATGATATGAGAACTTCGTTTTTTTGCCACAGCCGTCCAAGGAAGTGTGTGGCAGAAGAGTCCTACAGGGTGCTGGATCCCTTGCGGAGGACCGAGCTTGCCAAGGCGCCAGAGGGGCGGCGTCAACAAAAACGAAGGGGATGCGGGGGGGGGGGGGGGGGGGGGAGTGAAGCGGGGCTTCTGGGCGCCCAGTTCCACCAGAGTTTTAGTAGGTTCTTTTTGGGCTTTGGGGGGTGAGAGCTGCGGAGGCGTGCTGAAGGCTTCCAGATCTCAAGTTTACAAGACTGTCCGTGAATTTGGGACTTGACAAAGGGACATGCTCGAATTTTCAAGACCCTCCAAGCTGCGATGAGCAGTGGGGGCCAACGGCTCAAGGAGCAGAAGCAAATACAGTATAGCAAGAATAAGAACAGCACTAGAAATAACAGCGCCTCTAGAAACGAACCCCCTTAAAATCCAAGTCCTCAAGCCCTAAACTCCCGAGTCTGGGGTTCAGGAGCTCCCCGAGGAGGGCGGAAGGATTGGAGGGAGCCTTCAACCCTAAACCTGAAGCCCAAACAACCCAATCCTCTCTACGCCCTAAAACCCCAATCCCCAGCGACTTGCAATCCCTCTCACAAAGCTGAAGAGCTCCCTGAGGTTCCGGGCGCCTACCGTCCGCTGACCTCTGTCCAGGCGCTTTCGGATGTAGCTTAAGGCCTTCCGGGTTAGGGGGAGAGGTTCCTCCCGTAGGCAAGTGGAGAATCGAGCTTCCAAGCTTTGGTGGCTTCAGGGGCACTTGATGGCTTTGCTGAGCATCTTGGACTGCAGCTTAGGGCCCAAAGCGCTGTGCCAGGCGAGGGGCCAAAGAGTCTCCATGGGCACCTATCTCCTCTCACGGCTTCTTGGAAGCTGAGTGACGTGTCAGGGCTGTTGAGCTGCTTCAAGTTGGTTTGTCTGGGGCGTTTACTCGCTGTGTGTGATTACTCCCGCATGTTTCCTTTGGTGGTGGGTGTTCTCTCTCTTCAGGCAAATGCACGAACAGCAAAGGATACGGGACGCCCTCAACATGGACATGCCTGTGGGCACAAGAGGCTTGGCAGTGACCAGAGAGGCAGTTCAGTTCACCTTTTGTCAATAGCCGCGGAAGCTCATAATTCTCCGGATCGCCTTGCTTGTAGATGGCGGGAAAGGCTTGCGCCCAACCATGTACCCTGATTTGTCTGTCCATCAGAAACATTGCTGTCTCATTTCTGTTACGATGACGATCACCGCAACGACGACTGCTACGAAAGCTCGTGCGACCCGGAGCTGCTGCCACGCCTACGCCTACTTCTAGTGTTTGCACTAGTGCTGGTCTTGCGCTTGCACAAAAGCACTATAGCACTAGAGCACTATAGCACTACAGCAGTACTAGTAGTAGTACTAGAAGTAGTAGTAGTAGTAGTAGTCGTCGTCGTCGTCGTCGTCGTAGTCGTAGTCGTAGTCGTAGTCGTAGTCGTAGTAGTAGTAGTAGTAGTCGTAGTCGTCGTCGTCGTCGTCGTCGTCGTCGTAGTAGTAGTAGTAGTAGTAGTAGTCGTCGTCGTCGTCGTCGAGGCCTCAAAAAAGGAGTAGGGGTCCCAGGAAAGGGTTCCAGGGCGGGGTTTTACAGGGGCAAGTTTCAGGGGGTTTTGGGGGTGCAGAAAATTGTTTTTTTTTTTTTTTTTTTTTGGGGGGGGGGGGGGGGTCCCGTCACAAAATTTGGCACGGTGGGTTAGGGGGAGGGAGACCGGATTCCGTGTTTGCTTGTTCCAAACGCTTCTCGGCAGGAAGCCGAGGCGAATATTTTCCATTTGGACGGGTACTGGATTCTTCATGATTTTCAACAAAACCATATATTTCCACATTTACGCTTATTTTTTGTTGCTATTATCATGAATACGATGCCCAGACTTTACATCGTTACGACGACAGCTCTTGGCCAATGTACGGCTGCGTATTTGGCGCCTTGTTTTCCCCACTTCTCGTGGTTCTCATTTCCTAAGCTTGCTTTAGGCTCGGGCCTGGGTTTTAGCACTGCCCGACCAAGCACAAGATCTCGACTGGCCAAGGATACGTCGATTGCGCCCTGCTGAAGGGCGGAAACATCCGGGGCGGAAGGGAATATCAGGATGACGAGCACATCAACTTGGAGGAGGGCTTAGCATGGTGCAGGTTGTTGTGGGCATTCTTTGGCCAGCTGGACCCTAGTGCCCAACTCCTAAATAATTTCAAAACCCACCAGCCTTGAGCGCCCAGAGCCCCGAGATCCGAACCGAATTTTTTGAACCCGCCTAGAGGTCCTTCAGACCGAAGTCGAGGAGTCCAAGCAGATCTTGGTGATCCCAGTGCCTGGAAGTCTGTCATGAATCGGGCCTGATAATGACCTCAGAAGGCACTTGTACCTTTGCTGGTTCCAGGCTCAAGGCGTAGCAGCAGGAGAGGTTTCAAGAAACATTTCAGGGTTCAGGCTTAGGTTCTTAGGTTCTAAGGGCTGTTTTTGGTAAGTCTTAGGTGCCCGGCTCTGTGCTGCGAGTGGGGCTCCGGGAGACCTTCGGTGCCCCGAATCCGGGGTGGATGCGGCTCGGACATGCTTTTGGGGAAAGTGCCTTCCTGCGCGTGTCTACCACCGTTAATAAGCCGCTTTCTCTGTTCCGTTTCAACAGAAGACTCTTGCGCAAGTCTGGGAGATGGGTTTTCGAGGGGCTTTTTATAAGAGAGCCAAGGCAGTACGATGACGGTGTCGAGCTGGATGAGGACGGCTACGTCACCCACATCGCCAAGGAGCCGCTGGAGGAGGAGAGGATTTACAAGGCGGGGACAGCTGCGGGTTTTGATGGAGTCGCCACTGTCACGCCAAAGCTAGCGGAATCCAACCGATGAGGGAGATTGGCTTTTGGTTCGATTTTGCTCTTCTAAGCCTTCTAAGCAGGTGGCCAGCATCGTGGACTTCTGGCGAAAGCGAGACGCGCCCTCCATTGGCCAGCAGCTCAAGACGCCAATTTTGTTGCATGTTTTGTGTTTCTTGTTTTGCTTCACTCCTAAAGATATATACAGAACCAGGTTCAAAGAATGCCCCCTAAGAAAAGTTTGAGAATATCCGAAATTAGCAAAACTCTCCTGTCCAAAAGTGAAGTCCTGCAAGTCGCTACGCAAGGTACTTCGAGGATCACCCCGAGAAGCTGCCAGAGCTCGACTCGGGGAGGCCTGTGCACTCGCTGCTCCTGACCTTCTTTGCCGCTTGGCAGGGCATCTGAGGAGAAACTCAGGGGCCCCAAAAAGGCCAAGCGACTAAGCGACTGAAGTGTTCGGCTTTATTGGTTGAAGGACTTCAGAGGCTTTCCGATGGGTTGCGCCCAAGCATCGCCAGTGTCAACCCGACTCCTTTGCCCAGGCGATGCAGCTCTGGACCCGAATATGGTAACTTGGCTGTCTTGGTTTCGCGTACACTTGGTATAGGCTTTTAAGTAGCATTCTCAATCCCCCCTCCATCCTCATCCTCACATCGCCTCATCACATCGCCAGGAAGGAGCTCGGTCTCAGCACTGGCGATGAGCCGATCGAGCCGGAAGCCTTCCGGGCCCTCGACGCTGACGGGGACGGCGTCGTCTCCAAGGAGGATCTCAAAAAGAAGCTGCAGCAGGCTGGAAACTCCGTAAAGACCGATATGCGTTTTATGTCTCAAGAGAGAACTTCAATCCGGAGCACCTCAGGAAGCAACACCCAGCAGAATCTATTATTTGTTGCAAGCTGTGGCATCTTGAGATTAGATGTCAAAGCACAAAGTTACTGTTGGCCTGTCTCTTTTCTTGGAAGACAACCGCCTGAATGTGTTTGTCGATGATCGCAAGGTCTCGCAACACTTTGCTGGCGTTTGTCGTCGGAATGAGCAAACATGCAAGCTCGGTCAAAGCAACGCTGTTGGAGCGAACGAACAAACACAATCGGAAGAAAGGCATCGCATCACCATAGCCCAGGGTGGCATGTCCCCAAACAACAATGCAGGAGCATGTATGTGCACAGAGTCAGAAAGTATCGGAAGGGTCTTGTCCCACTCGTCTAGTCTTGTGCTCGTTCCAGCTTTTTGGCACATGGTCCAGAATGTGCCTTACGAGATACGGGAGTGACAACTGTCGCTGTACCAACCTATTCAGGTGAGCGGCTTCGAGAATGTCTTCGAGGGCATGGATGCACCTGGGATCTGCATTCGGATCTCTAGGGTGCTTTCCGATTTTTCCCAACAAACACGCGTATGCTGAGAGTTGTGGCTACTGAGTTCTCACACTGCACCAAGATCGCATGCATGGATTTTCCTGCTCCCCAACTTTGATCGATGGATTTTGCCTGGCTGCCCGAGGTGCTTGTGGATAACATGCTTGGTGAGATCGCCAAATTTGGTGGGAAGGACTCTCTGAAAAGTAAATGCCGGTGCGAAATGCCTGGAGGCGAGCGCTACACAAACAACCACTGTCATCAAATTCTTTGAAGGGCCGTGGTACGTGTCAAAACGCTTTGGTTTTCATCGGCTTTCCATTGCAGTTCGGGAGGGGGGTGCGGTTTCAAAAGTCGGGAAAGTCATGTGTCCGTTTTTTCGCCAGAAGAAAACCACTCAGCCTTGTGAGTCATCTCATCCCCACAGGACAAAGGCCTCAGCGAGGAGGCTATCCAGGCAGCGGCCAAGCATTGGTCCAGCCGAAGCTTGTCTTCCCTGGTTTCAGACGGCGCCTCCGAAGAGGAGGAGGAGAAGTGATGCTGTAGAGCCCGTGGCATTCAAACAGACCTCTAAAAGAGGGGCCACGACAATCCATGAAGTCCACTTGAGAGCGCAGTTTTTCCAACATTGTCAGCCCGAGGCAGAAAAGGAGGTATCAGATCAGAATTTGTTGAGGGAAGGGTATCAGACTACACCCAATATCCCGTGGTGATTTGCACAGCCTGGATCCCAACTCCCCAAGTCTTGACTCGATCTTTCTTAAACACTGAGTCCTCAGATCAGCGCTTTCCGCTACGTGACACTGAAGATTCGTCAGACAATGTCTTAGATTCTGGAGTGGCGCTTCAGACTTCTTGTTCACGAATTTGATTGTAAAGGCTTTGTGTTGCCTCAGTTCGTAGGTGCATAGTCTGCCTGTGCAAGGAGACTGACTTCTTTGCAACCCACGCGGTTTTCAGACATGTCAACCAGAGAGACTTTGTTTTTTTTGTTTTTTATATGGGCTAGTTCAACGACTCATTGATTTCTTGGGCCTGCATGACCACGTATGCGTGCTGTGTCCGGATTGCTGCTCCAGACCTTCAGAGTCCTTAGCGACCCGGCTCGCAGCTGCGAGCAATTCAGATGGGCCTGCCCCCAAGAGCACTAACTCAATGTTTTTCAATATATTACTGGCTACCGCCAGTGCCGCCGACCCCATCATTGGCGAGTCCACACATTGTGCGTCAGATAAGTAGAGATTACTTCAACTCTTAAACCCGATTCCCGCAACTCGCCAGCTCAGCCCCAAAGCTTCACCTGCGAAAATCATCTCTTCCCCGCCTTGCTCGGCTCGCAGCGGCAGCTCTGCGGAGCAGGCCCGCGTGGGCAACTCTTGATCCGATGCGATGGATTTCCCTGCTGAGCAATCTTGATCCGATGGATTTCCCTGCGGAGCAATCGGACATGACTGTACCGTCGTGAGGATGCCGATGATGCTGATGCTCATGTTGCTTGCGCCAATGAAAAAAGGGCCCTTTTCGGTCCCGCCGCAGGGCACATATATAGCCCTGCAATACCGTGGGCTACATTTTTGCCCCACGATGATGTATTTCTTCTACGTCTAGATATTGCCCCTGCATAATTTTCCCGAGCCCAAACCCCCGGTTAAGTTTTATATATCGTTTTGAGAAGGGGGGCCCGTGGAAGGGTGTCGGGTCCCACTAGGGGCTCACACCTGGGCCTGGGGTTCCCTCTAGCCCAGGCCAGCATGTATCATGTTGTACGTGTGTTTTGCCATCTCACGATGTAACTTCATCCAGAGTCCTTCATTCATCTAGTTCGGCCTGGGCAGGGGGGGCTCTACTGTAACTAGATAAAAAAATTGTCCTGTCAACTCAATGCCGTAAGTCGTATAAAATGTCGTTTTGTTAAAAAACGGGTGAGCCCGGCCTGGTGAGGCCCTGGGTCACCCCCCGGCAAGCAGCACCGGGAGACCAAAACGCGCACGAGGTCTCTATAAAATACATCTTCTAGTCGGCATTGAAAGGACACCCTAATCCCCAAATACCCTAAGTAGAAATTGAAAGTGTTCTGATGCTCATTTTTGCTCGAGCAATCTTGATCCGATGGATTTCCATGCTGAGCAATCTTGATCGGATGGATTTCTTCCTTTCCTCGCCCTGCGCCAAAAGCGAGAGCGGGGGGGGTGGCCCCGGTGCCGCGCGGACTGTGTGCTATTGCTTGTCACCGTCACACCAACTATGCACTCTGAGCCTTTGCTTGGCGCTGCCTCTCAACTGCCCGCCGTCTACCAACAGCATGTTCAGCTGTAGCGCGGACTCTGGGCCTTTGATTCCCGCCGTCACCCAAGAAAATCCTCAGCTGCAGCACGGACTCTGTTTCCCGCCGTCGCCCAAGAAAGTCCTCAGCTGCAGTACGGACTCTGGGCCTTTGCTTCCCGCCGTCAACCGACAGCATTTTCAGCTGTAGCGCGGACTTTGGGCCTTTGATTCCCGCCGTCACCCAAAAAAATCCTCAGCTGCAGCATGGACTCTGTTTGCCACCGTCGCCCAAGAAAGTCCTCAGCTGCAGTACGGACTCTGGGCCTTTGCTTCCCGCCGTCAACCGACAGCATTTTCAACTGTAGCGCGGACTCTGGGCCTTTGATTCCCGCCGTCACCCAAGAAAGTCCTCAGCTGCAGCACGGACTCTGTTTCCCACCGTCGCCCAAGAAAGTCCTCAGCTGCAGCACGGACTCTGGGCCTTTGATTTCCGCCGTCAACCGACAGCATTTTCAGCTGTAGCGCGGACTCCGGGCCTTTGATTCCCGCCGTCACCCAAGAAAATCCTCAGCTGCAGCACGGCCTCTGTTTCCAACCGTTGCCCAAGAAAGTCCTCAGCTACAGTACGGACTCTGGGCCTTTGCTTCCCGCCGTCAAGCGACAGCATTTTCAGCTGTAGCGCGGACTCTGGGCCTTTGATTCCCGCCGTCACCTAAGACAATCCTCAGCTGCAGCACGGACTCTGTTTCCCAGCGTCGCCCAAGAAAAAACTCAGCTGCAGTACGGACTCTGGGCCTTTGCTTCCTGCCGTCAACCGACAGCATTTTCAGCTGTAGCGCGGACTCCGGGCCTTTGATTCCCGCCGTCACCCAAGAAAATCCTCAGCTGCAGCACGGCCTCTGTTTCCAACCGTTGCCCAAGAAAGTCCTCAGCTACAGTACGGACTCTGGGCCTTTGCTTCCCGCCGTCAACCGACAGCATCTTCAGCTGTAGCGCGGACTTTGGGCCTTTGATTTCCGCCGTCACCCAAGAAAATCCTCAGCTGCAGCACGGACTCTGTTTCCCACCGTCGCCCAAGAAAGTCCTCAGCTGCAGCACGGACTCTGGGCCTTTGATTTCCGCCGTCAACCGACAGCATTTTCAGCTGTAGCGCGGACTCTGGGCCTTTGATTCCGTTTCCAACCGTTGCCCAATTTGCCCAAGAAAGTCCTCAGCTACAGTACGGACTCTGGGCCTTTGCTTCCCGCCGTCAAGCGACAGCATTTTCAGCTGTAGAGCGGACTCTGGGCCTTTGATTCCCGCCGTCACCTAAGACAATCCTCAGCTGCAGCACGGACTCTGTTTCCCACCGTCGCCCAAGAAAGTCCTCAGCTGCAGTACGGACTCTGGGCCTTTGCTTCCCGCCGTCAAGCGACAGCATTTTCAGCTGTAGCGCGGACTCTGGGCCTTTGATTCCCGCCGTCACCCAAGAAAATCCTCAGCTGCAGCACAAACTCTGTTTCCCAGCGTCGCCCAAGAAAAAACTCAGCTGCAGTACGGACTCTGGGCCTTTGCTTCCTGCCGTCAACCGACAGCATTTTCAGCTGTAGCGCGGACTCTGGGCCTTTGATTCCCGCCGTCACCCAAGAAAATCCTCAGCTGCAGCACGGACTCTGGGCCTTTGCTTCCCGCCGTCAACCGACAGCATCTTCAGCTGTAGCGCGGACTCTGGGCCTTTGATTTCCGCCGTCACCCAAGAAAATCCTCAGCTGCAGCACGGACTCTGTTTCCCACCGTCGCCCAAGAAAGTCCTCAGCTGCAGTACCGCCGTCAAGCGACAGCATTTTCAGCTGTAGCGCGGACTCTGGGCCTTTGATTCCCGCCGTCACCCAAGAAAATCCTCAGCTGCAGCACGGACTCTGTTTCCCACCGTCGCCCAAGAAAGTCCTCAGCTACAGCACAGACTCTGGGCCTTTGCTTCCCGCCGTCAACCGACAGCATTTTCAGCTGTAGCGCGGACTCTGGGCCTTTGATTTCCGCCGTTACCCAAGAAAATCCTCAACTGCAGCACGGACTCTGTTTCCCACCGTCGCCCAAGAAAGTCCTCAGCTGCAGTACGGACTCTGGGCCTTTGCTTCCCGCCGTCAAGCGACAGCATTTTCAGCTGTAGCGCGGACTCTGGGCCTTTGATTCCCGCCGTCACCCAAGAAAATCCTCAGCTGCAGCACGGAATCTGTTTCCCAGCGTCGCCCAAGAAAGTCCTCAGCTGCAGTACGGACTCTGGGCCTTTGCTTCCCGCCGTCAACCGACAGCATTTTCCGCTGTAGCGCGGGCTCTGGGCCTTTGATTCCCGCCATCACCCAAGAAAATCCTCAGCTGCAGCACGGACTCTGTTTCCCACAGTTGCCCAAGAAAATCCTCAGCTGCAGTACGGACTCTGGGCCTTTGCTTCCTGCCGTCAAGCGACAGCATTTGCAGCTGTAGCGCGGACTCTTGGCCTTTGATTCCCGCCGTCACCCAAGAAAATCCTCAGCTGCAGCACGGACTCTGTTTCCCACCGTCGCCCAAGAAAGTCCTCAGCTGCAGTACGGACTCTGGGCCTTTGCTTCCCGCCGTCAAGCGACAGCATTTTCAGCTGTAGCGCGGACTCTGGGCCTTTGATTCCCGCCGTCACCCAAGAAAATCCTCAGCTGCAGCACGGACTCTGTTTCCCACCGTCGCCCAAGAAAGTTCTCAGCTGCAGTACGGACTCTGGGCCTTTGCTTGCCGCGGTCAACCGACAGCATTTTCAGCTGTAGCGCGGACTCTGGGCCTTTGATTCCCGCCATCACCCAAGAAAATCCTCAGCTGCAGCACGGACTCTGTTTCCCACAGTTGCCCAAGAAAATCCTCAGCTGCAGTACGGACTCTGGGCCTTTGCTTCCTGCCGTCAAGCGACAGCATTTGCAGCTGTAGCGCGGACTCTGGGCCTTTGATTCCCGCCGTCACCCAAGAAAATCCTCAGCTGCAGCACGGACTCTGTTTCCCACCGTCGCCCAAGAAAGTCCTCAGCTGCAGTACGGACTCTGGGCCTTTGCTTCCCGCCGTCACCCAAGAAAATCCTCAGCTGCAGCACGGACTCTGTTTCCCACCGTCGCCCAAGAAAGTCCTCAGCTGCAGTACGGACTCTGGGCCTTTGCTTCCCGCCGTCAACCGACAGCATCTTCAGCTGTAGCGCGGACTCTTGGCCTTTGATTTCCGCCGTCACCCAAGAAAATCCTCAGCTGCAGCACGGACTCTGTTTCCCACCGTCGC